TTTATTTTTAGGACAAACACATGGAAATGAGAAAATTAGTCGTTAGTTGCTTTAGAGTGGCATGAAGGTAAGCGACAGCGCTAGAGAGTATACCATTGAAACTGGTATAACATTCATAGAAAAAATTACAACCAATTTGCCGCAATGACTGATCACTTGATTTATCATATAGCTTTGAGCGGATCAACACCTTAGATTGGAATTTTCATATGAACAAAGTGATCTAACTATTTTATTATATGTTGTAAGGCGATATATTTTTATTATTTATTATAATAAGTATATTTTTTGTTTACCAAATTGTATATATATACAGTCGCTTTCCGACAAGCATTTTTTGCGGCCCACCACAGCAATAGCTACTAGCTGCTAGCTGCTAGCTACTAGCTACTAGTATCTAGTAACTTTAAAATCGAAAGGCGTTTTTGGTGTTGATCATTGCCAAAAGATAATAAAAAGGAAAGGTTTACATTGCGCAAATAGATGTTATAGGCTGAGTTGAGGCAATAAACTTTAACAAATAGATGTTATAGGCTGAGTTGAGGCAACAAACTTTAAAAATGTGGGTTTCAATCTTTACAATATGTTAATTATTATTATGTATAGTGTTCATTGAACTTTATCAAACAAATAGTCCCATTTCCCCCAAATATGTTTCGGCATAAGCAGGTAATGCTTCAAACGAATTATATTATATTAGTAACTAGATTATTAAGTCATGCAAAGTATGTCGAGATAATTGCTCTAATAACGTGAATACGGCTGCGACTATAGCTCAACGCGAATAATAAAAACACCCCTCCTTTGGTAAGATATACGTCACATTGCATAAACATAACATAAGCAGAACATGTGCTTGACAGTCATCCAGTAATTCTCAACAAACACATATTTATATACAATATATTGCAAAAAAAAAAACCAAAAAAACATCCGGCTCATTTATAAATAATACTATTCCTTGTTAAAATTTTCACCAAGCTTTTCCAGACGCGTTAAGTAGTCATTTATAGTCTTCTTATCCTTTTCAGAAATTTGCTGTGTAAGTTTATCCTCCAACATTTTCACTCCCCGTTTGTAACTGTCCTCATCTCCTAGATTCGCTCCATAATGAGCCAAGTCCTTCATACAGCGCAGATCACCACTATTTGCACCTTGCAAAAATAATGGCAAACACTCGGATTTCATTCTTTGCTGAATTGCGTCTGCATCTTCTTCTTGTCCTGCAGCCAAAAACTTTTTCCGCAATTCCGTCGCAGCGGCCATTTTCGATTGAGCACGGTATTGAACAGCTTGAGTAAATCCTAATTCGGATGCTACCTCGAGGTAACTTTCTCCTATATCAGGGTCCTTGTCATGTTGGATTTTCTGATCTATTAGATATAAACCGACATAGAAATTGGCCCGAGCATCGGGCGTTTCGGCGTCAGCCAGGATTTTGAATTGATCATAGGCTTCTTTGTGATTTTTTTGGTTGTGTAATGTAATAGCTGTTTGGATCGTTACGTTGGATTGTGGAGGGGGGGGTGGAGCATCCTCGGTGGAGGTTACGGATTCTGAATACATGCTTTGGGTGTCGTTTTCATAGCTGCTCTCGAGACTTTCGAGTTCCTTTACAACAACTTCCATTGCCGGACGAGAGATGGGGTTCTGCGCCCAACAGCCTCGCATTATCTTTTCATAGGCTTTGGGGGTGCCATCAACGATCGGTGGGCGAATGAATGGCTTTTTTTGCTGTTCGAACACTTCGCTATAAGTCTTGTCTGCAAAGGGAACTTCATGAGAAGTGATCTCCCACATAAGCATACCGAAACTACAAATAAAACAATGTACACGATATGAGTAAAACTGATGAACTCGAAACAATTGGCTATTTGCGAATGAAGATTTCCCATTCGACAGGCATACAATCAATGGTCATTACGATATCACACCTGTATACATCAGCCTCTTTTGTGTAGGAAATCGTGCCATCTCTCACTTTTTCAGGACATAGCCATCTAACATTCTCCGTTTCTCCTTTAACAGTAGTCGTAATATCTTTTAATCCTCTGCTACGATGGAAGTTACCCAATTTGACGTTGCGAGACTTGTCTACAATAGCATTATGGCTGTGAGCAGGAAAAGTACGGGGAGTTGAATTAGCTTAGAACTTTGTATCTAGTCCAAGAAAGAAAACCAAACATAGCACATATTATTACCTACAAATGTCATGATGCACAATGAGCTTACTATGACAAAAAGCCACTGCTCTTGCCAAGCGAACCGCCATTCTTATCCTTTCTTTCCAGGTAATGTCTCTATACTGCTTGAGATATGCATGGAGCGTTCCCAATGATGGCCATTCCGTAATCATGTAGTAATTGTTTTCTTCTTGCATAATTCCAAAACTATGCAAATCGCAATGAAAAAAGTAAGTTGAAATACCAAACACTCAATGACTTGGGCAGATAACAACACGTACTTCTTCGCGAATAGATCGCTGTTCAATTTGGTACTAATATAGGCTTGTACATAGTACCTCTCAATGTTGTCGCCAACAACCCCGATGTGAATCTTTGCGACTTCAGAAGCATTGCAATACATAACTTTTGTCAACCCGTTCTCGGCAGTGTGAGTGTCAGTGGCAGGTTTGAACCACTGAGGTTGTAATTTTAGCTCTTCTATTACCTCCTTTGCCAAGGGAGCGCCATTATGGAAATACGCAGTAGTAACAAACTCGTCTTCAACAAGCAGTTTAAGTATTTTATCCAGTTTATTGCTTGTTGAAGCATGATTATCCGTTATGTTATCTAGTTTGCGGTCAATAATATTCTGCTTATTCTGTAATTGATTCAAAATCCTATTGCTATCCAAGTTTACGTGTAAACTGGCACTTGTGAGAGCATTCGACAGATTATTAAATAGGTCTTGTATCTTTCTGCTCGTCTATAGAACGTATTGTTGAAATATTCGTTCAACGTTAATTGTTTACAACCTGCTATTTGTCGCTTCGAATGACAAAACTATTTGAATTCGACTTACTTTATCGGCGGTGAGAATAGACAGCAGCTTCTTCATTTTGGGTTTGGTATATTGAAACAAAAATTTCTCCCAATCATTTAATGCGTTCATTAAAGCGGGAGTGTGTTCTCGGTTGATTAAGTTCTCATGTTCTTTGATTGTATTCCTTACTTCAATCATATATTCCTTCATGACAGGTAATGCTTCTCTATTACATTTTGCTGTTTCAATCAACTCGATAATAGTTTCAATAACAGCGAATAGTTCTGGTATTCCAGGGAAATATACGGCTCTGGCTGCAGGAGAAATTAATGCGATCGAGGCTCCCAAGCCCAAGAAGACTTTGAAGGCCATGACGAGTGTATGTGGAGTGGTTACTACTTTGGCTTATGGATGTTTCTTGCGCGATCAAAAAAAAAAAGGTTGGGATGTCTGTCAGACTTAAATGAATGCGATCGGAATGCATCCTCCGTTACTGTCGTTACACCAGACGTATTTATCATCGTTAAAGAGGTAATAGTAAGGGTGAAATTTGTCCCCGTCTGTTACTCCAGTTTGGGAAATCATCTATTCATGCTAAAATGAGGACTCGGAGAACCAAGTTCTGGACCCCAATTGTTTATCAGAATAGTCTTGTCGCAGCAAATGCCGATGTGAGACAAATGAACAAACTCAAAAAGCATTACTGAAATGGGGGTAATAAATGTGTCCTACACTATTATTCCTACATTTTGCCCCATTAATAACGGTTGGGAGAATTCTTAAAAGTTTATCGAGCTTCAAAGACTATTGGGAAAAATCTGAACGTGTTAGTTTCTTCATTCTGGAAAATAGTCATTAAATAATTTTTCGCAACGCCGTCGTATTGGTCAATTTTGCAATTACTTATATCAATTCAACTGTATGTATGGTGAAACGCATCCAACATTTTCCAACGACTTTGAAGTGTAAAGGAATTTTATTGGATCATGTAAACGTCAAAAGAATACGTATTTTAATAGCTCTCGATATGGCCTGTAATGTTATGTATTCTTTCCGTTGATTTTAATAGTAACAGCGAGATTTTCAGCGCCGCCCAATATACGATTGATGGAGACAAATCACGTGACTAAGACATGGTTTCAACCCCCCAAAACTCGAATCTTAAAAAATCCCAAATCGATCGATGATTATACTAATCACCGAACCTCGATCGGCAAAATTGAAACAGGTTATAAGTCTCCAAAACGGTTGCAGTAACTCAACGATGAGATCAACATCGCTTAACTGCAAAAACAGCTGCCTTACCTAAAAGTCCAAGTTGTTCCAGCATATTTGGTTACATTCTATCTACAAATTCATCACTATCAAAGCACGTATCCTCGCCCTCTATCCAAAAAGTGTGTGTTGGCATTGCTTCAGAATATTTTGCTCGTTTCCAACGTTTGTTGATGGCATCTCGAGATTGTCTAGTGCGCTTATTTGATTTTGGCAACATAATGCGTGCTTGCACTTTTAATTTGATTCGTCATAATCTGTATATCACGTGTACATATTTATACGCATTAATTACTTGCACATTTCGAACTGGATAAGGATAAACTTGAAGTAATGCATGTTGATGGTGTGTCTGCTTCAATTGAAGATTTCGACTATATTCCCTTCCTCTTATAACTGACGGCAAAGTTGTAATAATAATAATTCCTGTTCACGCACTAACCGGTATGCTATTTTTTGATACTATGTCGACACGCGTTTCTTTTCCGTATTGAACTATGATATAAAAAACAGGCCAAAGAGAAGCTTATCTTATAGGTAAAGCTACTGACTGGTGTCAAAATAACCCTAGACTTGTTGGACTAGTCGGTAGTAACCAGGTATGACTTGCAAATTATCATGGAACTCTCTCTCTTTACGGCCACTTAATATAATATTCTTTAAATACGTTCAACTGCAGACTTGTTATAATTTACCTTTGTCTATTCCGACTGTTCGAGATCCGGACGCTGCCGTTGTTCTCGTGATAAGGTTTTTCATTTATGTTTTTACATTTTACGCGTTTGCACCATTTTAACTTAAATTTTTACTGCAGATGGAATATATTGTCACGTAAAGACCAAAATTAGGCGTTTCCCTCAGTTGCTCCAAATTTTGTTGCAGAAATACGCTCAGCCAGCAATAGTGAGGCTTGTTGTGTACATATATGGATGTAGGAGTGAAAGTGACTAATGATCGCTATCTGTTGATTATGTTTCTTTTGTTATGGATATTAATTATTTTATCTAGGAAGGTATACTGATTGATACCATAAATCGAACCGTAACAATCTATCGAGTCTGAAAATTATGTCATCTGGAATGTACAAAGAAATGTCGTATAACCTCTCAAATTCTTAATGGATTCGTGTTAGACTTGCAAAATATTATTTGAAAAAAAAAAGAAGCTTGATGTCAATGTCAAATTCTATTTACTGCAAAAGACCATCTATTAAGTTTAGCAAAATAATGTTTTCGCATGTGAAGTAAAAGTAAAAAAATAACATTTTTATCATGTAAAATATACAGTATATGCGAATTTTCTGTTGTTGTGATGCGTTGAGAGTCTTGGGTTTGCTTTCGAGTTTGTTGCGTTCAAATACTCTCGGCCCAATGCTCTAGCTGTTGTGAGCTCGATAGGCACAAATGTCGTCCGTTAATATAAGAGATAGAATCTTCATCAGACAAAAAGTCTTTCAAATTGAGCTTTAGATATGTTTTCTTGATTGTTTAGGAAGGCGACACGTTTTAAAATCTTTACACAATATTTTTGCTAATTCCAGTATTCTGGATAGCTTACTTGGTGACCATTCATATGGTTGTAGTCTTCATCTTTTAAATCTGAGACAGTGGTTTTGACATGGTAGATATTTTTTCCTTTTAGTCTTTATTGCTACTGTAATCAGGTAATATCAAAATCTTATCAGGAAAGGATTCGATAAAAATATTACAATGTCAGCTACTGCAACAAAAATTGTTAACACAATCTCGTCCCAAGCAGCAAAGAACAAAAAGATGTAGAAAGAATTAGAAGCGGTATTGTTCACGTGAAATTCGAGCCGGTGGTTTCGATGACGAAAAAAACAAACAAACGCGTATTACATTTAAACTTCTATTTGTTGGTTGCTCACTTGAACGAAAAACGTGCAATGCATACGAAAATTTGTTATAAAGATGAAAGTTAACGAATAGTCGGCATTAACAAACGAATGGTTAAAGCTGTCGCTGTGTAACATGGATATACTTATGGTAGTGGTACGAACAGTCGAAAACTGGAACTGACGATACTTCCGTTAGGTCACATTTTCATCGTTATAGCGAGTTATCGTTAACCGGGAATTCTATTTATAGCGATAACATAATAGTTAAAAATATTGTTATACAAGATTGATATTCAATGATATTACAAACTACATTCTGGTAACAAATTGACTGTTTCTTATTATTGACATGGTGCGTTAGCACTTGTTTTCGTAAGGAGCGTACTGTTAATGCAGTACTTGCATCGCAATTAAAACCTGCGAATGAACGAGAAAATTGAACACATTATCCAAGCTTTCTAACACGTTCTTTATAGAAATAGTCTCTTCCTCATACTCTTCGGAAAGCTCTCCCTGAGAAGGTTTGGGTTTATTAAAGAGTTTAACACACACATCCTTTTTTGTGCAAAGGTCAAGCGTGTTGTCAAACGTTTTGGGTGTTTTCGCTGGTAGTTCGTTTATTGAGTAACATTTGTTTAGTATTATATTAGACATTGAAAATTTGAAATTCGGGAAATGAATATTATTATACAGTATACTGATACTCGAAATTCGTACAGTTTTTGATGATGTTACACAACAATATCGGTATAAAAATATATTGCTACAATAGTTGGTACATCGTATACGTATCGTTATACGTAATAACGTACAACCAGGTGAAATTAAATAAGAATGTTTTGGTAATGACAAATTTCATCGTTATCGTTATATTAATATACAGGTATCGGTTTTTTGACTGTAGTACGAATAAATATTTCGAGTATCACTACCATAAATAGAAATATTATGAGTTGTGCAACACTTCGGATAATCCGAACACCATTGAATGTGCGTGCCAAACTAGTCTGCTTGTAACCAGGTTATCAAACATTTTGCATACAAATAAATAATGTAGACTTTTTTTTCAACTCATAAACCTGCTACCTCGAAACATGCCGTATACTCAACTAAAGCTGTCGAATATTCAATTTCTGCCATCAGTCATCCTCCTGTTTCCTCTTCTGGTTGATGCTCTTCTTCCTACCAATGATCACAGCACATCAGATCCAATTGGCGAGTCGGTCTTTGATTTGATGGCCACTGTTCTAATTGCATCGGTCATAACAATTGACGTCAATCGTATAAAACATGAAGGAAATCTTTTAAAAAGGATACTCAACGGTGTCCAAATCCTCCTTCTTACAACACGTAATTGCATGACAATTTGGTTCTTTGTCAGAGCTTACAAAGATACCAAAGATATGTTTTTTATTGCATTTCTTATAACAGCCCTTTCGGTGGACTTACCTCTAATTGCTATCATTGTTAATGTTCCTAAAAAGATAAAGTCTGTGCGAAAGCTACCTGTAAAATACACTATCGGACTTCCTGATCTTTTAACTATGACATGTCGTTTTATCAATGATTTGACTTTTGGATTTTTGGCAGTGAACCGAGGATACGTGAATCGGTCGACTTACTGGTTTGTGTTTGGGCCCGTTATCGTGGCATTTTTAGTTGGTGTAGGGCTATATATATATAAGTTAATTAAATATGAAGACATGTTAATGTCTCTGGATGAACCGAATAAAGACAAAGACAAGGCTTGGCTAATAATTATGCAAACTCACTCCAGAAAATTTGGAAGAGCTACATGGATAGTTCAATTCTGTTCTCAATTAGTGGTTGGTCTGGTAGCCGCACCTTCAGTTCTTTGGGTAAAGGCTTACATTACGTTGGGTTTTATAGTTTTTACAATAGACGATATTTCTACAAAATTACGACGTAAAATTGAGAAAATTGAGACTGAGAAAATTGAGGCAACTGAGAAGATTGAGGCTGAGAAAATTGATGCTAAGACTGAGGAAATTGAGACTGAGAGAATTGAGTCCACCGTTTAACATTTTTGTTATCAAATTAACAAAATGTATATCAATGGGCGCTCTATTTTAATAACATTATTATTATCTCTAGTGGCTCACTTAACTGTTAACGCAAAAAGATTGGTTTGTGGTATACTATAAATAAATGAAAAGAATAATTATATACAACATATACAACACATATACACCAATGATCAATTATCAGTATAGTATATTGTTACGGTCGAATGGAGAGCGATTAATCTTTCGCGTAGGGGTGTTCTTCCGACCGGGGAATGTTACCAGATTAGCTTCGTGCTACCGCTCTTAATACGGTAGATGTTTAATTAAGACTGAATTCTAATCTACAAGTGCCTATTACTATTTATATAAATGCGCGCTTCTCAACCCCCTATCCGAGCTTCAAATCACTCGTGATTCCAAATAAGGGTACCCACAATAAAATAACAACAACAATTATTCTATTGCGGAATCAAAGGGGAATAAATTCTATTTAATATTAAACGGGGCTATCTTCGATTTGGTATTTTGACTAGTCAAATTCTGTCACTTGTCTCAAACTAATTAAACAATATTCGTTTAAATAATAATTAAAAACTCTCGTTCCTCAATTAAGAGTACCAGATCAACGGAATTTATACAGCTTGAGTGAGCTGTTTTTACAACTTGAGTGAGCCGTTTAATATTACAACGATGAAAGAAAGTAAAATTTTGATTTCAAAAGGAATCGTTTATTTGATATTTTAATTCCGTGGAGTGGAAAACAATATGAACAAACTAAACAACATATACAACATGAGAATTTGACGATGGGATAAGGGCCGCTTATATAACATCAGTATAGAAATTTTTCAAGGACCAATAAATTCTAGGTTAACTAGTGGTGCTGGTATTAAGGTTTATGGTGTACTATAAATGAATAAAAAGAATAATTATACAACATATACAACATATATGCACCAATAATCAATTACCAGTATATTAGTATTAGTCTGCTGATAGATGGATAACCCTTATAGTGCTGTCTCCCATGGATATGGAGAGAGATCCCAATTCTCTGACAGCTTAGGCCATTTTGACAAATTTTAAACAAAGATAATTTCCCTACCTTTTGCAATCCTCCGGTGAGTATTGTTGTACGTGCGGTCAGGTATAATAATAATCGTTTTTCGTTGAAGCTTATTCTCACAACTGATTAAGCTTTGATGCTGTAAACTTGAGTAAGTTCGGCATATTCTTGTAAGCTAATTACCGCGGGAGAGTCACTCAATGGCCAGAGATAATTAATGTATATTGTTTATTAGATGAAAATGTTAAGTTAATAGTATAAGTGTTTAAGGAAATGTTCAGATTCGAGAGCGAAATCTGAACTACAAAAGATAATCGAGCTAAAGGTAAAGCAAAAACTATACTGCTTATATACCTTCCTATCGTTTCATCTATTTATAGGACTGAATACACGTTGACAATATTATTTTACAGTAGCGCGACTTGTGTTCTTCACCCCATTATCCGTTTTGTCCTAAAACGGTTGGTTGTGCAAACCGTGATTCAGAAAATCCAACAATGGTGGGTGTTACTGAAGTCTGCGGTTATTAAAACAGGTAGGAACGCCTGGAGAAATACATCAATATTTTGGTGCTGAAAGCTGAAGACCACCGGACTGAATATCTGACATTAGAAAAGGAATTAGAAGTATTTTTCAATCGTAAGTTTTATTAGTTGTTTTCCGTTGGACCAAATATTTTACAAGGAAAGATGTACAACCTTCTCGAATACCCGTATCTAAATTGCTAATGCGGAATAGCTATCTAAAATCTAAAAACCCGCCGACGCGTCCTTATAAAAAGGTTATGACCACATTACTTTCTGATGGCGGCTGAGCGTATACATGTCATATTTAACGTCGTCCGGATTTTGAAGCGCCCGTAATAATAAAGCAAATATTGTTTATCTACTTGATCGTGTTTGTTTTATTATCGCTTGTTAATACAAAGTAATATCGATCAATATATTGTAAACGAGACACAAATGTTTTTGGGACTACACAATAATATTTTTTGTAGAAGTTTATTGATTTCAAATCAATACTAGAATCACGCCAAGCACTGAATATGAATGCAATTCCAGCAAACTTTAAAAACAAATTGTTATTAAGACGTTTTTTCGCTGAATGAAGTGGTATTGATGATCGACAACAATATCTTCACCTTCGCAGTCTTGTCAATAAGTTTTAAATGATCGGATAGTATTTATAAGCAAATACCTGATATTTTGCCATAGGCCAAAAAAATAAACTCTAAAAGAGTTTATCCGTCTCTCACGCATGAGCGTTAAAGCGTGCGTGTTGTCTCCTCCTAAGAGTAAAGGTTTATTAATATAATAATAACCAGAAGTCTAGTTTACAGGTCAATAACCATCATGTATTTAACAAGAATTAGGAGAAGCCACATAAGGTTGAATAAGTTATAAACAGTCAGTCGTCATCAAATTATTCCCCAAATAATATTGAAGGTGAATTACTACATACTGGCGTAAACCGCTAGAAGTAACCCTGAATAGTATATCCCATATTTACCAAACTCTATTATTAGTAAAAATGAAATTGGAGTTCTTGGATAAGTTTTGATACAAACTTAACCAGGGCATTCAAGCAGCATTTACTTTATACGTCCTCCAAAATCCAGATACCTAATACTTACAGTGCTGTGCAAAAGTAATGAGAATTACTAATAAACTGACAGCTTGGTAACTAACAGTTGAATTTGTTTGAAAT